TAGGTGTTAGACTGGGTAACTTGAGATGCTATCAGACTTCTAAGTAAAATTATCTTTTCAACAGACCTAAGCCCGGCATGCCAAAGATCTACTTATTCTCCTAACCAATCTCTCCCATACAAATACCACTCCAACAGAAAAGAATAAATAATTGTATCTTCTGAATAAATGGCTTCATGGATTATTTATGAAGTGTAGGGTAAGAGAGCAAGAAGCCAACACCTGCCCCTGGCTTAATCTGCACTACCAAGCTGCTTCCTCGTCACATTGGTTCTGGCAAATTCTGTAAACCAGGAGTGACTACAGCAAAACCTGCCATGTTTATCTAAAGGACATTCATAAGCCAATTGTAAGCCACCATATGAACAGAAGCATCTTTAGCCAATTCTGCTCCAGAAGCTCAAACCTTAAATTGTGGTTGACATAAAATAAGCATTAGATTTTTATACTTAAGAAAATATATGAAGTAGACAATGGTGTGAGCCACTGTGCCAGTGCTTCAGGAGCCAGCGTAAGACAGTCCCTGGCCCATAACACTGTCTCTAGAGGGTTGCAGCAGGCAGAAAATAAAGTTTCCACCTATTTCCCCATGTCTGTTTAGAATAAGATTCATTGAGGTCTCAACTAAGCAAATGAGACTAATCAGCTTCATAAAGGTCTATCATCACACCTCCTGGCTAGGCACAGCCATCACGAACATGTTTAGCCACCTCAGTGGAAGTGAGGAGAGGGAAAGCTTGATACACATTTTGAGCAAAGAAGTTAAAACTCCCCATTTTTGTTGTAATGAAATAATTGTGAATTGAAAACATCTGCTTAAAAGCACCACCAAGAGAGAAAGCAGAGGTGGCCCTGCTCATTCTCTCCCTCCTCACAGGTCTCCGAGGGCTGCCAGAGGCAGGGCAGAAGACCACTCTCCTCCTCCAGATGACCACACACACAGAGCACTACAGACAAAAACCCATGTATGGGACAGGTTCTCCCTATGCCTCACTGGTGAGTTCAGAAAGCCAAATACTTCTCTAAGTAGGTCTGTCTAGAGTCAGTTTACTAACAGTCATTCAACCTCTGTAAAATCTATGGGTTTAAGCAAAACCACCAAATCTCTAGAACAAATACATCTTTACAGGCAAAGCACAGCTGATCCTTGGACAGTGAAAAGAAAAGCTCAGTGGGCTGTGTAGCTGCAGCTGAACAATAAACTGGCTAAAGGAAGGGTTTATTGCAAGGTATTGCTTGTCGAGCTCACAACTTTGAAGGAGACTGCTTAGCATGAGACACTGGAGGAACTGGGTGTGTGACTGCAGGCAGCTCTTAGCCCTGGGGTGGTATTTACTCTCACCACAGCCTCTGAGACACTGAGGGAACTGCCTTCGGCCCATGGAAAAATTACTAAAGTAGCGAGAGGGAGATAGACTGTCTTAACGTGAGTATTAACTTTGCTCTCTGCTGGCAACAAAGGAGAGAATTTTTTGTAACTGAAAGAAACTCAGACAGAGGGGAAAAAAATGAACAGCAAACAAAAGCCACACTGGTCAGTCCATTTTGGCACACATCAGGCTACAATCCTGCTGCCAATGTCAATGCATTACATGCTGTGTGGCTATAAATTTCAGTTGTGTTTGAATAAACACCAGCATATAGAATCACTTTGGGTCTGCCTAACTCGCTCTGTCTGTAGACAGGACAGAACCAGTATCTGAATGTCCCCCAAATTAAAACCTTTAGCTGCCCTCAACGTGCACGTACCTGCAATCCCTTGTAGCAGCCCACAGACATTAAAAATGCTTTTCTTCATAATACTCTGCACACACATAGTAAAGACAGACACAAATGCCACGGTACAGAGAATCACAATTCCCATGGCTAGGAAGATAGCGGTCGCCTGCCAGAACCCACTGGCTATCTCGTTGAAGTTTTCAGCATAGGGACCACAGAGTGTGTCTCGCCTAGTAAACTGCATTTGGGGGATCCTGGTGCAGCGCCCGTAGATGCCCAGGGTCGGATGGTAAGGCTCCTGTGATCCCCCTGTTCTGTTGTCCACATCATCTGAGCTTGAAGGCTTCGCCTTGCCAATCAACCAGTCTGCGCTCATGAAGGCAATGAGCTCTGCGAAAGCGACCACGATACTCAGGAGAGTCCATAGCATAGACCGGCACGTTACAATGACATGACACATATTGATGTCCAATGCTTGTGATCAGTGCAGCAGACAAGTCTTAAAATCCAGGCACAAGGAGGGGAAAAATTAAGTTAAGAAAGGAAAAAAGGACCCTAAGAAAATCGCCGTGCCAGCTCTGCCTGCTCCTTCGACTCTCTTGCAGAGGCCGAGATGAAGCTTCTCAGGAGAAAAAGCGAACGGCCCCAAGTTTTCCAAGCAGTGCAGTCATTTGTTCTCTCTGTTTAGTTCCTCCTTCTCTGTTTCTGGGATGCTGATCTCTGAAGCGCGCTTTTCTTTCTTAATATTCATACTGGCACATGACACTGCAGGCTGGCTGGGGAGGCTCCAAGGACTGCCCACTCTTTCACATCACACACCTACAAGAAAATAGAGAAAATACATCAGCAGTGAGAAAAAAGTCATTTCCACCCCCACAACCAGCCAAGATCTGGCGCAGATCCACATCAACATACAAAAGCTCTAACAAGGGCCCCGTCAAACAGAGCCTGCTGGAAACCTCCTGGGTTTGTCCCAGGGGAGGAATTAATCTGCTGCCGATATTTAATGGTATCTGCTGTGCCCTGTCCCACTGCGGGTGTTTGTCAAGCACTTTGCAAGCAAAGGTCTCAGTAACAGCCAGTGGTCCCACCCACTCCTACCACCACACCCCCATCATCTCCTTCTGGTTGAAATTACCAAGGGTCCTGGCAGTTACCCAGCAAAGTGTTCGGACACGTTTAAGCAGTTTCACAGATGTGTGGCTCCTGCCTGAGTCTGGAGAGGCAGCACAGGACGGAAGCCAAACTGCTCCACATGACGTGGGCACATGGGTGCAAGGGGCAATGAAGGAACCTTGCTCCAACGTTTCAGAGTGCTGCTGACTGCAGCTGAGGCAGCCACACCTCAGAAGAACTGAGAAATGGCCATAAAATGAGGCAGAGGAGATTCAGACTAGATGTTAGGAAAGTTTTTTCCCTGTTAAGGTGCTCAGGCACCGGAATAGGTTGCCCAGGGAGCTGGTGGAGTCATCATCCCTGGAAGTGTGTAGAGGTGTCTGGATCTGACGCTGGAGGATATGGTTTAGTGTTTAGGTGTTCCAGCAGTGACAGGTTAATGGTTGGACTTGATGATCTTAGGGGTCTCCTCCAATCCTGACGATTCTACAGTTCTAACAAGATTACAGTTGGGGGCACCCCACCCTGTGATGTGGTGGCCCCTTTGAAACCTGGGCTTTGCAGGAGTGGTGCTTTCCTAGGTTCTGTATCCAGGTTGTCCCCAGTGTTTCAGGACAACAATCTGCCTGCAGGTATGCAAACACCTCATCTCGAACTAATGCCAACACTGGCAGCTTCTGGTGGCTTACACCATTGTAAACAGGAATCTGTGGAAAAACACCTCAGTGACTGCCCAATGGCCAAGAGTCCCAGTGACAGGGTTTGCCAGTAAGTCTTGAACTTCCTGACTCCTCTCTACTCCCTTCTTCTGCAGTCCTGTGTATGCTGTGACTGCAGCTAAATGTTCTCCGAGGCTTTCCCCAAGCATTAATGCTGCCTTTCAACAGTAGCTGATGACATTCCCAGAGTTACACTTAGCAGAAAAGGCAGTTAGAGATCGTTACGCTTCCAACTCGTATCCAAATATCAGAGTCAAAATAACAAACAGGTCATTGCACACGCCTCTGAGCTCCAACTGAAACAGCGTCGCCTGAAAGGGTGGGAGCAGGAAATGCCCTCATGTTACCCCCTCCGTGATGAGAATGTAGCACTTCCAAGTTTTCCTCACAAAAACCGTAACACCAACATTGAGCTGGAGGCAAGAGAGTCGAGATCCAACTCACTGCTGCGTTGCTGCCAAACGCAAACAGGTCAGCGGATGCCAGAAAAACAGACATCCCCAATATTTTTCCAGCTTTATCATGGGGCTGGTATTTAATTTCTTATGAGTTTTGAGTCCAGTGGTTGAATACTAGTCCCACTGAATGCAAAATGAAACACACACCCACAATTTCACACATCTGGAATTTCATCCAGCAATTTCTGCTCCCTCCTGTACTAAGTTGTAGTGAATCATCTGCAAGATTTCATCCAGCATTTTCTACTCCCTCCCGTACTAGTTGTTGAATCTTCTAGATATGCAGATTCTTTTGGTACTACATATACAGGAGCTTAAGCTGATGTTGCCAACAACTGAATTTGTCTCCCTCAGCACAGTGTTATGGCATTGCCTTAAAAAAAGGGCAAAACACATTTAATTATGCTTTTAGACACACCGAGATAACAGTTCAGCTGATTTTCCATTTTTTTTGCGGGGAAAGAATGAAGTTCTCAAGCAACCTGACACACTAATGACTCCAATACACCCTTTGTAATAACAGAGAGCTGATGTGTCAGCCTGCCAAGAAAAGTTAATTTGCTCAGTATTTCCACTTTAAATAATGACTGGAATGTAGGATATGTCCACTAGAAACCTACATTCTTCTGATGTCTTCTGCATAATTAAAGAGAAGTTAGTGGAAAATGTCTTATTTTCTCAAGAGACACTTCAAGATGCTCTAGAATCTGTATTTCTCTGCATGCATATGATCTCATTTTTGCAATTCCAGAATTTTTACTGAGGTGCAAGGGACATAAGAACTGAACACCTATCAT